CACTTACATAGCATAAGAAAATTAAATAGGGCTAAGGACACAATAGGACCTCATTAAGTTTTTTTTGACCTCATTAAGTTTTTTAAAATAAATGAATAGGAATAAACACATTCTCTTCCCAAGTTTATATATTTCCTGGTTAGAGATTCTAGCTAAACACATTGAATTGAACACACATTTGCTTCTACTTCCTTCTGAAATGGCAATAGAATTACACTAATAAATCCACAAGGACAAGGAAGTAGGGGAGCAACATTAAAAATAAGTTTTAAAGATGTGAACCAGGTGGACAGTTGGTAATTTAACACATAAAAGAAGTTGAAATATAAGTCAAAGATGTAGGAATGGTGGCTTTGATATGATTCCGTTGGTCCTTACCTAGCATAAGACACTGTTCATTTCCCAACACTGCCATATGAAACAACCAGCATGCACATGTATACACACCTAAACGCCCAGAGGAGTGGGCAGGAACTATAGAGTAGAGTTTGCCATGGAATCCCCAAACTAGAAGACCTATGTAACACCCTATTGAAACCCTAGTCTCAGACAAACACTGCCCCATTCTTACTTGGCAGAATATTAGAGGTTTCTGCTGGAAATTTGAGAGAAAGCTGAGGCTGAGATTGGGGAAGGATTCAGTGGTATTCTGGAGCAAGCTTGTAACAATGAGTTCTGATTGTTAGGCATTAAGAAAATTTTGAGAATTGGTTGCTAAAAAAGTAGTGGCTTGAAATTGCCCATGATGGCAATATTTAACAAGAATGAAAATGTCAGATACTAAAAGTTAATCTCTTTCCCTCTCCTTTTCTCCTCTTTATCCAGTTCACTAAGTACACTGTTGAGAGTATTAAACTGAAATAGGATAAAAAAATAAATACTAAATGAAGCCTCCCAGTGTAGTTTGCTCATTTAGAGAGCAACTAGCCTAACCCCTGGGAAGATTCCTTTTTATGGAAGCTTGCCACCCTAAGAGAAAAGGTCTCTATATGAAGTAGTTCAGTCAGATGAAACTACAGTGAAACTCACCATTTGAAAAAGCTTCTAATCAGCTTAGTGTCTCATTCTTAATTATGAATAGGTAATTAAGGATCACTGGACATTTGAAGAAAGTCTCCAGTATGAAAAAAGACACATGGAATACTACAACAGAATACATAGAAACTAAGAAAATATGTTTTAAAGATAACATTGATCCACAAATCAGTAATTAAGAGTACATAAGGAAGCTTTCATTGAAGGCAAATATATTAGCAAATATATTAGCAGACAAAAAGTGGTAGAGCACTAGCCTTGAGCAGAAAAGCTCAGGGGCAGCACTCAGGCTGTCCAGCCTTAAACTGGCACACAAAACTAAATAAAAATAAAGAAGTAAGCTGCTGGGCACTGGTGGCTCATACCTGCAATCCTTAGCTACTCAGAGGCTGAGATCAAAGCTTCCTGGAAAGGAAAGTCTGTGAGACTTTCATTGCTGATTAACCCTCCAAAAGCCAGAAGTGTCTCAAATGGTAGAGCACTAGGTATGAGCAAAAAAGCTCAGAGACTGCTCACAGGACTGACAAAAAAAAAGTGCAATGGAAAGGTTGGAAGATAATGTTGAGAAAGTCTTGTAGAAAGTAGAACTGAAAGACAATAAGTTTGAAAACAAGGGAGAAAGAAAATTAATAGGGGTCAATCCAAGGAATCCGGCGAGTTTTAGAGAGAGAACAGAGAAAATGGAGGGAGAAAGAATGATTTTTTTGGCCTGATGTATATCAATATGAAATTTTATACTACACCTGAAGAGATGAGTCTAAAACTGAAGGAAGAAAGATAACAATATGAAGGACTAAGAATGAGAATGACAATATATTGGCCTCCAGTTTCTCAGTGGCAATATTGGAAGGTAGAAGATAATAGAACCATGCATGCAGAGGTTGGGAAGAAATTGATTTCCAAAATAGAGCTAATCTAATTGCCAAGAACTAGTAGAATAAAAATGTTTGCAGACCTGCATAGTATGAAAAATTTTATGCCCACTTGGAAATTGTGCTTCATGCCTGTAATGCTAGCTGCCTGAGAAATGGAGATGGGAAGACTATCTCAAAGAACAAGCCAGGTAGCCTGGCGCTGGAAGCTCATGCCTGTACTCTTAGCTACCTAGGAGGCTGAGATCTGAGGATTGTGATTTGAAGCTATCCTGGGCAGAAAAGTCCCTGTTAGACTCTTATCTCCAACTAACCACTCAAAAACTAGAAGTGAAACTGTAGTTCATAGTGGTAGAAGGCTAGCCTTGAGCAAAAAGAGCTCAGGGACAGTGCCCAGGCCTGAGTTCAAGCCTTAGAGCCACCACCACCAACAACCAAAGAACAAGCCAGGTAATGATGGCATTTAGCTATAATCCCAGGTGCATGGGAGGTGTGGGTAGGAGGATCATAGTCTGAGGCCAGCCCAGGGAAAAAGCATGAGACACTATCTTTTTTTTTATTTTTTTATTTTGTTTGTGAAGATACTGTACAGAGGGGTTACAATTACATGGGCAGGATAATGCGTACAGACACTATCTTAAAAAATAAAACAAAAAGAATTTGGAGGCATGGCTCAAATTGTAGAGTCCTTGCTATCAAATGAAAGGACTTGGGCTGGGAAGGTGGCTCAGTGGTGGAGCCCTTGCCTTGCATGCCTGAGGCCCTGGGTTCGATTCCTCAGCACCACATAAGCAAAAAGAAAAAAGCTGGAAGTGGCACTGTGGCTCAAGTGGTAGAGTGCTAGCCTTGAGCTGAAGAGCTGAGGGACAGCGCCCAGGCCCTGAGTTCAGGCCCCACGACTGGACCCCCCCCCCAAAAAAAAAAAAAAAAAAAAGAAAGGACTTGAATTCAAACTACAGCTCCATCAAGAAAAAAAGGAAAAAGAGAAGGCAGCCTGGACCAAAGTGACATCTACATCACAAACAAGCCAGATATGGTGGTCCCAGCTAATTGGGTGGTAGTGGCATGAAGATCTCGTTTGGAGATCAGCCCAGGCAAAGTGAGCACAAGAGTATATCTGAAGAACAAATTAAAAGCAAAAGGCCTGGGAAGTAGGACCTTTTCCTACCAAGCTCAAGACCCTGAGATCAGTGCTCAGTACTTCAGAAAAAAAAATGAACAGAAAAGTTGCTATTTCATGAAAAGGCAGTAATACAAGAATGAGGACACTGGGATCTAGGAAACAGGAGACCTATGACAAAAGAGCAATAGGAGTCCTGATAGATAACATATTTTGTGCAGCGGACTGAAAGGAATATGCAATTGTAGTGAAAGGATGGAGTGTTTCCATAAAAGCTGAAACTGAGAGATACCTGAAGAGTCAATTAGGTGAGGATATGGGTCAGGACAGGAAATGATGAACATATCTGTGCACCATTTTAAGAACATAATGCTCTCGGTCAGTTACTGTTACTGGGTTTAGCGAATAACTTTGTTCTCTAATCTTTTCCCTAAAATTATGGTTTGTTTGTTTTATAAAAATGTAATATGTTACATAATGTAAAATATTTGTTAGAATGTGAGTGTACTGAGCATCTATTAATTTTATACTGTTTTAACTATTTAGAAACTATTACTACATGAAGCAATGAATTAAGGAAATGTGTTTTATATGAAAATACTTATAGGACTGGGTATCTATGGCTCACACTTGTAATCCTGGCTACTCAGGAGGATGAGATCTGAGGACCAAGGTTTGAAGTAACCCAGGCAAGAAAATTCATGAGACTCATCTATCTGTGGCTCAAGGAATGGTAGAGTGCTAGCCTTGAGCAAAAAAACCCCACAAACAAAAACAAAGGTCAGGGACAGTGCTCAGGCCCTGAGTTCAAGCCCCAGGACCAGCACACAGTCACGCAAAAATTTACATTATCCTGAAATAGACAACCAAAATAAGTATTTGTTTGGAGGTTCTTAAAAATGAATATTTATAAGAAAGATAAATTTTTATGTTGGAAGTTGTAAAATGTTTGTTCTCAGATAAGTTGCTCTAATTTTGAACAATTATATATTTGCATATTGATACTTTAAATAGGTTATTAAACCTTTAAAATGAGATGGGCTTATATTTAATAGTATAGAAAGTAAACAAGACTGTTCTTTTTTAGGGAAAAAACAGATTATATAACAGTAAGTATTATGAGATGGTATCCTCTGTATTTTATACACATGCATATTATAGGCAGCTTCTGTAATCAAACTAGTAATTACTTTTGGGAGGCAAACTGATAGAGGATAATTTTACTTTTTCTACTTATGTGTTTTTATGCGACTTGAAATTTTTAACCATGACTTTACATAGCTTAAGAATGACAAATAAATGAACTCAAAATTCCCAGATGTGTTAGATGTATAAATGAATTCTTATACTTACTTATTTACAGATGTTTGCTTAGATTATAAGCAGACATTGAAGATAACTAATACTAATGATTACACTGATATAGTCTTAGAAAATACTTGGCATTTTTGAAGTTACTTTGGGGGAGGAAAAGTGTGGTAATAATTCTATTACATTATTGCAATGAAATACTTAAATGACAAATATTTAATTTAGGCTAAAAAGCATGAATTTAAAGTTAAAATTGTATTTTAGAGTTTACTAGACAGTTAATTTCTAAAATAAAATGTCCTGTGGTAGTTAAATACTTTTTAGTAGGGTTAGGCTGGATTATGCTACATTTCATACTTTTCAGTTCTGTACTTTATATTACTTTTTCAGTACATTAAAACTTATGCAGTGAAACTGAATAATGGCAATGTTTTTATACCCTTTTATAGCCATTTCTTTATCATAACCTCCCCCTATTTCCTGTTGACTAAACTATAAGCACCTTTCTGCTAATTTATGAAAATGATTGTTGAGATAGCACATTATCACTGATCTGTATGGCACTTTCAGCATGTTCAAAGCAAAGGTCCAAGCAACATAAAACACATCAAAATTCATTAATGTGGTATTGATTCTTTTTTGGATAATTAATTTTATTGCAGACCCTTGAAAGAGATAATGAGCTGCAAAGGGAGAAGGTAAAAGAAAATGAAGAAAAGTTCCTTAATCTTCAAAATGAGCATGAGAAAGAACTAGGAACTTGGAAGAGACATGTATGTTTATTAAATTGTAAAATATTAAAGTATTTACATAGATGTAGACTTTTAAAATAACTATTAAATACTAAGAAAATATTGCAAAAATAATTAAAAAATAAAGTCAGACACATCTTCTTGCACTCATATTTCTAGAGTGTTTTTTAATAAGGTAAATTTAATAAAATTCCCAGTAATGTTTTCATGCTTGGAAGACCATACATATACATGTTTGCATACATATGTATGTGTAGACGTATTAGAATGTATATTGAATAACTTTCTATATGTGACAAAGGAAAATTAATTTGCTTTTTCATAAAACCATTGCAGTGTATTTTAGCAAATGATTAGAGTTAAAAATGGACTATTGTTAATGGATCTATTTTGCTTTCCTCAGCAGTTTTGTTGAGATGTATTAGGGATATATGTAGAGCAAGTACACAGTAGTTTTGTTTTTATTGTATTAACATTTTATCTTAGAGTTGAGATGTTGTGAACAGCTATTTTCTTAAAGCACATTTGTTTATTTCACACTAAATTTTAATTTAAGTCGATGAAATTATATATAAAATGGTAATAATTCAAGTTGTGAAATAAAAGGTTTACATTAAGTATTTTTGAACCACAGAATTGATTATTGTATTTTAATATCAATTTTCATTGTCTTCAATTCTTTTTAAGGAATTAAACACAATATGCTGAGATTGAATGAAGCACATGTTTTGTGTTCAATCTCTAGCACTCCAAAAAGCAAAAACAAAAACATGATTTAGTACAATAGAAAGTCAGTAAAAAAAAAAAAGTCAGTATGAGTTTCTGAAGCTGTTTTTAGAACTGTATAATTACAGAAACTCTTACACTAAATTTAGTATATGTTTTAATTATACTAATATATCACCTAAATATCTGGTTGATCAAATTTTCTATGAGGATTTTGATTTACTATTATATAAGTAGCTATTGTTTTTATTCATTTGTAGTTAACATATTTTCTATATTTATAGTTTGGAGAGACACAGATTTTCACTACTGATTTTGTTAAGTTTTATTCAAATTTAGAATAAACATTTAGACATAATAATACTAATAATCTATCAGAAAAATTCATAATTAAAAAACAAGTATAAGGGCTGGGAAGGTGGCTCAGTGGCCTTGCCTTGCATGCATGAGGCCCTTGGTTCGATTCCTCAGCACCACATAAGCAGAAAAAGCCAGAAGTGGCATTATGGCTCAAGTGGTAGAGCACTAGCCTTGAGTTGAAGAGCTGAGGGACAGCGCCCAGGCCCAGAGTTCAGGTCCCACAACTGACCAAAAAAAAAAAAACCCAAAACATAAAAACAAACAGAAAGAAAACTGTAAAATGAGGCAGGTGTTGGTGGCTCACACCTGTAATCCTAGCTACTCATGAGGCTGAAATCTGAGGATCGCTGTTTGAAGCCAGCACAGGCAGTAAAGTCCCTGTGAGATTGTTATCTCCAATTAACCACTCAAAAACTGGAAGTAGTGCTGTGGCTCAAGTGGTAGAGCACCAGCCTTGAGCTGAAGAGCTGAGGGACAGCACCCAGGCCCAGAGTTCAAGCCCCACATTGACCAACCCCCCCCCCAAAAAAAATACCTGTAAAATGAAAATAGATATTAAATGTGCCAACATACCACAGAAAATTAAGCATTCATTTTCTCTTAAGAGACTATGAAGTTATCTTCCAGATTAAAAAATGATTGAATCAAGAAACTGTAGGTGCTTTACTGATAAGACTGTAACCTATTTTTGGATAAAATAGTTTTATAATTTTTTATTAAAACATCCTTTTACTTTTCTAATGCTTTAGTATAGACTATAATTAAGTAAGAAAAAGTTGCTTTGGTTCTGTAACCATATTTTTGAATGGGAGATTGAATCTGTGTACTCTCTTTCTGTCTCTCTTTATGATATTTTTCAATGAAGGACATTGCAGTTACTGAGATTGGATTAAAATGGGTTTTAAAAAACCAAAAATGATACTGACAAAAATAAGGTAGAATTCCTAAAAGTAGTCATTCAAACTTGGTCACTCAAAAATAGTATGAAATACCATTTCATGTATGAAAAGAAAATACTATGAAAAGAAAACAGTATGTTAATAAAACGTAGTCTATACTAGAATCTATATTTAAAATTCATTTAAATATTAAAAAACCAATGTTATATATTTTTTATCCATCTGTTATATGGACTAGTTTTATAATCCATGGAATATATCCATATATATCCATTGATTATATATCTTTATCTATATGTATGGACAGATGAATTATTTAAGGAGAAAGAGTTAACAAGAGAAATTGAATTATCAACCTTAAGTATATACTGTGTATTATTACTATTATAGGCAGTGGATTTTCTTTACTTTTTGGTGTTTTTGAGACAGGGCCTTTCCACACAGCCCAGGTTGGCCTCAACTCTTGATCATCCTGCTTCTGCTTCCCAGTTGCTGAGATTTCAGGTGTATGTTACTATATCTGACAGTAGCATGTCAAAAATGCCTAAAATGCAAAGATGAGAGCCCCTACTATTCAGGGATAGATACTGAATTAAACACAATAGTGTAGAGAGTTTTATTTTTGTTGGTTGTGGGGCTTGAACTCAGGGCCTGGTGCTGAACCTGAGCTTTTATTTTATGCTGAAGGCTAGCATTCTACCACTATGAGCCACAGCTACATTTCTGGTTTTTAGGTAGTTAATTGGAGATAACAGTGTCAACGGACTTTCCTATCTGGGCTGCTTCAAACCGCAATCGTTAGATCCAGCCTCCTGAGTAGCAAGGATTACAGGTGTAAGCTACCAACACCTAGACTGTAGAGTTATTTTTAGGATTACTAACAAAGTTCTATAGCTTTTAGTTAGGCAGTTTTAGAGAAAAAGATACAAGTTTGGGCTTGAAAGATGTTACAGGATTTCACCAAGTAAAAGGTACCCATTGTTCCCTGTCTTCCTAAGAGATTTGAATTTTATAAGTAATAAGAAGCAACTTTAAGTTTTTTATTTTGGTTATTTTTATGCTAGTACTGGAGTTTGAACTCAGGGCTTTGAGCTTTTTTTTTTAGCTTTTTCATTCAATATACCTCTTGAACCATATCTCCATTTTCAGCTGGTTAATTAGAGATAAGATTTTCTCAGATTTGTCTGGCTGGGCTGACTTCAAACTGCTGTCCCAAGATCTCAGCCTCTTGAGTGGCATGATCCATGGGCACCAAGCACATATGTGTGTATTTGTGTGTGTGTATTTGTGTATGTGTGTAATGGGGTTTGAACTCAGGGCCTCACATTCTTGCTTGGCTCATAACTGGCACTTTTTCTATTTGAGTCTTGGCTCCAGCCTGGCATTTTACTGGTTAGTTGAAGATAGAGGCTCACAAACTTTTCTTCTTGGGCTGGATCCTCCAGGTCTTAGCCTCCTAAATAGTTAGGATTATAGGCATGAGCTGCTGGCATCTGGCATCATGGAAAGTCTGAAAGCAGAGAAGTGACATAGGCAGATTTGAGATTTGCAAAATAACTCTTGCAAAGTATGAATGATAATTGTATGGAAGGAGACCAGTGAGGAGAATAAAATAGCCCTTTAGCCATTAGCCCAGAAGAATGTGAGTTATAGCAGTAGGAGTGATAGTAAAGACAAGGGATAGATGCAAGAAGAATTTTGGGAATAGAATTGGCAGATTTAGTGACTTCTTATATATAATAGCTATTAGAAGGGGAAAAGAAAAAAAAGATGATGCTAAGATTAGTATAATTCATAGGATGAAATCATTAAATGACATGAAAAATGTAAAAGGAGAAACAGATTTGGAGGATAGAAATAATGACTTTAATTTGAGAACCGCTGAATTTATGGTTCCTGCAGGACATTTAGCTTGAAATGCATATCATGCATTTGGAAATGTGAATTTCATCTTAAGGGAGAGGTTGGGGAGGAGGTATAGATTTAAAATTTATTAGCATGGAGGGGATTTTTGAAGTTATAGGGGAAGTAAGACCATCTATAGAAAGAATGGAAAGCTTGAACAGTGCTAAACAAGAACCTTGGGGAGTAGCAACATTTTTTTTAGTCCTGTTTGGGAGCTGGAGGGGAGGGCAATCTGATCAAAATAGAAAGATGGCAGGATAAAGAGCATAGTATTATGAAAGGAATCTGTTTCAAGAATAGTAATGGGGGGGCTGGGAAGGTGGCTCAGTGGTAGAGCGCTTGCCTTGCATGCTCGAGGCCCTGGGTTCGATTCCTCAGCACCACATAAGCAAAAA